TTCCCCCTAGCTCCCCCTTGGAGGGGTTGTCCATCATCACGATGTTGGTTGGCGAAATGGCTTTTGCTGGGGTGGTGATTGGATCTTGGCGCGGTGGATCGACGATTCGAGCTTGTCGAGTAGGAAGGTCCCTGATCCTAGCGGATCTCATTGACCTGGCAGTGCGTAGCTTTAACCATTGCGATGACCTTGGCGACCTTTGGCGTTTGTTCGAGCCGAGCGAGCTCGTTAGCGGCCATGGCCAAGTTGGTACTTGGGGTCTTGTAGACATCATGGCCGTCAACATGGATGGACTCATCGTCGAGGTTGCGGCGGAGTGGGTCTGGCTTCCCTTGCAAGTTGAGTTGTTCTCCATTACGAACAACCTTGGCTAACACAATGGTGGCCTCATTCGCTCGGCGCTGCGCACGGTTGGCATTTCTGTTGACACGAGCTACGCGGTCCTCATCAGTTTCTCTATCCCGTGGAGGGCTATCGATGCTGACATTAAAAATCCTACCTCCACAGAAGGGTGGAAAAGGAGGTTGGACGATAGCGGTTTTGGCGACAATCTCCATAGAACCCAAGGACTCAGAGTCTGGATTTTCCTCTAGGATGGTGTGGAGGGATTCTTCGGGATGTTGGCCGATTTGTAGCATATTGATAGTCGGCAAGAGCTGGTCGGCGATCCGGTCAGCAAGAGGATAGATGTCTTCAATCTAGTCGGCGAATTTGTCCCTTGGGGCACCGTGATGGATGGTGGTCATATCCCCTAGAGTTTCTCGATCGGCTTCCGGTAGATCGAAACCGAAAGGTGGTCGGTACCGAACCAGAGTGGTCAGAGCCGATTCTTTGAGCGAGAGGCAGTCGGTGAGCTTCTGGCTGACCAGATCGATGGATGCGATCAGATCATCGTTATCGACCAGCTTCCATGAGTAGCGGGGCAACAGGCGACGAGTTGTTGGTGAAGACTACCTCGAAGGTGGTTTTGAGATCAGATCTACTGTTGTAGGTGTTGGTGTGGTCGACGCAGAATCAATCTACATCGGCTTGAAGATCCCTCCATCTCCATCAGCATTGATGACCCAAGAGATTGATCCGGCCGTAAAGATCTGGCTGGGCTTTGGAGAGGACGAAGAGCTCAAAAAGTGTACCATCTTGTTCGTCATGGAAACAGCACGCACAACCCCTACCTGGCGCGTCAACTATCGATAGAATATCATCGGCAGTCCTCTGAGGGGTATCCCGCAAAGGTAGATTGATTGGCAGAGGTGCGTATAATCAAGAACAAGAAGGCAATAGAGACACAAGAGTTAGACAGGTTCGGGCCGTCAACACGACGTAATACCCTACTCCTGTGGCCTGTTAGTTTGTATTGGCTATCGTATGATATTGCATGTGTTTTGAGGGGGTCCCCTACTCGCCTTATATAGCCGGGGGATAGAGTTACCAGTCGGTTAGATCTAGGAGATAACCGGTAAGTAATAATAGATTATAGGAATCATGGGATCAAGCATATCCTAACGGATCTAGTAGCATCTTCAGGATATCGCCCTTAATATCTTGCGGTACACGTCGAGCAGTATCGTGCACCGTAAGTCTTCGTCTTGTGGGCTGGGCCGCCCCTGGCGGCGCAGCCCACGTAGCCTGTTGTGGGTATCCGGGGTCGTAACCCCACAAAACTCATGGGTAGCATATGCTTGATCTAAGTCTAGGTAATTGATGGATATGATATGAAAATGTCTGAGCTGTTGTTTATCTTGTTCCAAGTGACATCAAAGTTCTAGAGATTTTTTTTTAAAAAAACACAGAAAAATGCTACATGATGAGTTCTAATATGACAAAGCTTGAATTCCCACTAGAGCCACACATGTTATTTAGGCTAGAAAAACTTCCACATATATGCTGCTTACTTTTGCATTGAGTTTTGTCAAGCTTTGTTGACCCTTATGAGAGATTTATCATGCTCTTAAAATCATGATCGCGTACACACCACCCACATATACACTACTCCTACACTAGGGGTAGGCACATAAACATGCCTTCTTCGGAAGTCGGTTAATTTTTCTATCTTACTTTTGCAAGACTTATGATTTAATATAGTTATCTTTTCTATTCACTTTTATGCCTTTCATGTGAAAGGCTAGTATAGTTATCATATCTTAGCATGGGATCTCCGCTCGCATCGAGTGCTCTAGTTTTTATATGTGATTAGAGTAGTAATTAGTAGTGTAGACGTGGTGTCTAAACTATGAGTTACCTGAGATTGCACCCAACCCCTCGGATAGTTGTGGTAGCCCCAGGTGATGACAGCCCTGATGACCGATGTAGTCCACCACGTTTGGGTTGGTGTTTGTAGGACCATAGTCGGAGCTTCCTATCCCCTTTCTCACCCCTTTCTGTGGCTAGTGTTCCGATGTCCCAAGGTGCAATTATGTGTGATCGCTATATCTACCCATGCTTTAGTTATACCCTCTAGTCTAAACTAGAATAGAACTGAAGTAATAGAGAAGTATTTCGAAACCTTGAACTCAACCGTTGTCCTCTCAATTTAGCTAGACTGCTCATTTATATACCATGGAATTCTCTTTTGTGTGTTATTATTCATAACTCTTATCATAAACAACACTTACCCCCCCTTTAGTTTAGTTAATATACTAGTTAGTAGATACATGATGGTGAACTATCAACTTCTTTAACCATTGTTTCCCTATAGATAAATACGATACCTTGGAATACTCCCGGGTGAAAGCTACAACGGTATCCATGCGCTTGCGTATTTATCTGTGTGTGTTTAAAAATACCAACAACGGCATTGTTGGACACCTCCACATTGAGGCTGGCATCGGCAGTCGTGGCGCTTGAGGCATTGTGGGCATCGAGAGCTGGCACGTCCGTCGCATCATCGACTTGGTGCTCCGAGGTCGACGGCTGACACACCCGACGACACTAAAGGCTCCCTCCCGGTAGATGCCAAGGGCGCAGAAGCCGTATCAGCAGTAGAGGAGCGACAACAAGGCAAGGCCTGATGTTGGCATATGCCCCAATGATGGCTGCTCGCGCGGATAGGGGAGCAGCCGTGCTTGGCCCCCCATTGACCAGGGGCAGGCCTTAGACAGCAATTGTGAGCCTGATGGCCCTCCATCTTGCACGTGAAGCACTTGGACGGGAATGCGCAGTCGACACTCACATGGTCGCCGGCTAGATAGTTGAAGCAGTGGCGACCAAATAGTGCGGGACAAACTAGAAATTATGCAGTTAAAATTTAAAATGGTTATGTTTCGTTGTCCTAGGGAATCCCCACACAAGCCCGTTACCCTATCGGCAATGGCCGATGGGCAACTCCATAGCAAAGGCTTCAACTTTGCCGCGACCACCCACCATGTAGAGCCATGAGGACATCGCCGCCGCCACCCTCCTGTTGCTGCCTCCCCCACCGCCACCACCCACCGGTCGCCTCCTCATACATCGGCACACCACTGCCGTCCACGCGGCTCCTGTTGCTGCTCCCACTGATGACGCCACTCACCGATTGCCTCCTCATGCCTTGGCACACCGCCGCCGCCCTGCTCCACCCTATTGTTACTGCCTGCCACCACACATTTTCCCGATCTACTTCTCACCACCGTTGTTCGCAAGAACATGGCTCTCACTCTGCCTTCCAACTTGCTCCCTCCCCCCGACGGTGATGAACCACCCCCCGATGGTGATGAACCTCCCCAGAACCCGCCATCTCGATGCTAGATCCGCATTCATCGGTGCCTGATCCACCACCCATGGCTAGATCCAAGCCCATCCCTCCCATTTTGAGGAACCCAAGCTGCCCAACCAGAATGCCACTACAACCCCTTCCGCATCTGGCGATGAGACTTGTGCCCCCGAGCCCCCTAACCCCCCAAAATTCACCTCTAAGCCACCAACGAACCTGCACCCAATAGAGTCAGCTTCTCCTTCCTCTAAGCACCAATCCAAGGGTCGCTCGCCTCAGGTTCCTCACCTATAGCTCATCCTAGAAGCGTTTTGGTGTCGCTGGATGAAGTTTCCCTAGTTTTGACGGAGGATTTGTTTGGAGCACACTGTCTAATTAGACAGCCCATTCTTCCAAGCATCGAGCTTGATCTGCAGCAGTTCTTCGTGCCAAACTCCAATGATCAACCGCATCCTTGCAAGTAAGCAGCCCTACCGTTCTCGGACCCACAGCTAGAAGACCTCCTCCAACGGGCAGCGAATGGTTCAGATGAAGACTTAGGCAAGATTCAAGTCCATGATGAGACCCTGTAGAGATGCCACACCAGAGAAGAGAAGGGGAGAGGTAAGTTTGAAGCAGAGTAGCGTAGTGATGTTGACCTGTGGAAATCTAAGCACACTTTCGGTGGACAACGATGGCACCCGGCTCATCCTAATGGCGAAATTCAAATCCATGTGGCACAGATATCTCATGAGCCCCCAAGATCCTCCCTAGCAGCAAAGCACTCAAGAGTAGCACCTACCCAAGTGCCTCTAGCTAGCATCCATGTCCCTAAGGGGCTCTGTCGTTCCTCACACCCTATGGGGGCTGAGGGAAGAAGTTTTTCCAGCACACAAAGGAAAGATGTTGGCGCTATTTGGAAGGCAAGTGTGAGTGGCACAAAACAAATGACAATTCAAGATTCCCCATAGCTGGCCGACAACCACACCGAGCTAAATAGCATGTGGTGAGGAGACAGAAATTCTTACATCATATGAGGGGGCGCTGCTTCAATTGTCTCTCTACCGAGCACATGGTGGTGTCTTGCAGAAGGAACACTCACTGCTGGCGTTGTTTGGAGGAGGGACATAGGTCAAGTTTTTGCCCAAGTCTTAGACTTCCCCCTCGCCGGTCTCTAGAGTATACTACACCTCACCAACCTAGATGGCTTTTGTCCCATCAGAGTGGCTTCCACTCTCAGCACCTATCACAATGTTGGGAGAGACAAGAGAGTCTAGACTTCTCATGGCCGTTCAAGGGAATGAAGAGTTTCAATTGCAAAAGTAGTGAGGACATGGACAGGAATCGCTTTGAAATTGGTTCAGAGGACGTGGTGGACCATGCTAGTAGTAGGAGCAATAGAGATCATAAGAAGCAAGCACCTAGCGGCAAGAGGGTAACCTTCGCGATGCCTATTTCCCAAGTCATGGGGGAACATGCACTTGCTATTGCTGATGATGGACATATTATCCGGTCGGGTACTACCCCTCTTTTTAATGAAAGTATCTTCAGTTGCGATCCCATGTTGTTCGAATCTCGCCTCTACACAACTGTGGAAACTACCCAACATCCTACTCTATTGCCTTTGTACCTTGATGCAAGCTCACGGTTAATGGAAATGTCAATACCATCTCATAAAGATTGGGAACCATCAACAGAGCCGTCGACAAAAATCCAACAAGGTGGTATGACGACACTAGTGGATGAAGATGAGGAAGCGATGCACCCAACATTTTCTGCAGTGGAACCGGTGCACAAATTAAGGGAGGTTGTGGATGTTGCAGATGGCAAGGCATCAATGCTTGGGGCTAGTATGGGAGGGGTACCTCTAGAGGTTGGAGAACCAAAGCTTGTTGTGGACCTGGGACACACTAATCTACATGGTAATGGTTGGGAATCCGTCAATGATCAGAATACCACCTCTTCTAGACTACAGGTTGAGAAGGAGTTGGATTCCACTTCGCCGCAAGACCTAGCTGCGATAGCTAAGGAAATTACAATTGATGGGTTTTTAGCTTCAGTTTTTAAATCTTTAGTAGAACCTCTAATCCCACAACTACTAGTACCAATTCCTAGGGAAGAATCCAATGATCATGAAATGGGAAACACAGCTGAACCTCCTCAAACCCCACCACCACCAAGACCCTCATTATTTACCCCACAACGTAAAAGCATTAGGTTAGCGAAGAAATCCAAAACCACACAAGGAAAATGAGCAATCCAAGTTGCAGAGGAGTTGCTTATCAAAAAGCTAGGAGACTTATCACCACTAGCAACACAAGAGGAAGCTGACCAATTTGAATTTTTGCGCAACATTTGGAGCGTCCACTCACCAAGGCAAACACGGACGCCATCATGGTGCTAATTGAAGTGGGGCAACAAAAAATAAGAAGAGGGGCAAGCTAACCAAAGGGTGATATGGAAATATTCAAGGGCAGTCAGTGGTTTGATGGAAGTATTCATCAGCAGTAGTGGTTTTTTGTACTCGATGCTATTTGGTAGAGATAGTTGTTTTTGCTAGTCGGGTCTAGGGTTGAGATGTTCTTAGTTGCTTTGGTTTTTAGATAGTTGCCAGTGCAGTTGTGTTACTAGTTAGGTGTTTTCGACCAAGTTGGCTCAGGTTTCAGGCGGTGTTTCTAAAGTTGGTCGGGATGATTGGTGCACTCTCCTAGTTGGTATTTTTTGACCCAGTTTCCACTCAAAAAACTAGGCCGAACACTCGTATTTTTAATTTCTTCATCTAATAAAATCGTGGCAAAGCTTTTGCCATCCCTTCAAAAAAGATAGTGCGGGACTAGCCGGGATTGGCAAGGCATGGTGGCACACCGCCAACGCCTATGACTCTGGATCTGCCTGAAGACGTCCGCATCTAATGCCACAGTCATTCGTGCGGGGTGCATGATAATGGATGCCAGCCGAGCTGACTGTGGTGGAGGAGCCTGTGCGCTTGGCCGACGTGTCTCGGCCATGAAGCACGAAGGGTTGGGGTGACAATGACGATGTTAGTGCTGCCACCGCAAAAGCAGAATAGCCATGCCCCGGCCCGACGATGGAGGCACATCGGAGTCGTCGAGCGAGGCATCAGAGTCGAAGAAGTGTAGCCTCGCCCCGACCCATCTGGAGATGCGAGGAAAGGTTCCGCGTTAGGGTTGAGAGAGTTTACCCGAAGGACCTGGCTGGTGTGAGCCGCAACCGCTAGTGGAGGCAGTTGCATGAAGGTGGATCTCCCAAGCTCCACTGAGGCTCCATCTATTCTTGCCGACGGCTCCTGGTGGGTGCCATGGCTGTGGGAGTTTGAACCAACAGGGGCTAAGAACTCAACCAGTTGCTACAGGGACCCTCCGATGAGCCAGTAGGTACAAGCTCCAAGGATCCCAGATCTGGGCTTGGGTGGGCGAGATGTGGGTGGAGCTGGTAGATCGGTGGTGGGGAGGGAGCAGGTCGGGAGGCTCCATCCTGTTGTTCTAGTGTCTGGACAACTAAAACCTACGAGTTCATTAACCTATTACATAGATAAAAGGTTGATGCATGAGATGGCATGGCAGTAAACAAGCGAGGCAAATCAGCAGCTTAATTAGTTGGCTCTGGATTCAAGAGCAACAACAACCACCTTCCTATGATACTATCTCCATCCACTTCCTACACCTCTCCTGCTCCTGATGCCCATAGTCTCGATCAGTCCTTGCTGAGCTCATCCTCAGTGAAAACAATGCCATAAAATAGATCAGCGAGCTCCTCCTCCACCATCTGTCGATGCTCCTCCCTTCACTCGAAGTAGTCATTGTCCACCTCGAGGTAGCCCTTGGCATCGAGTTTCTCACGGATCTCTGCCTACATCTTGTAGAAGCTATCGCTCACACTACTATAGTAAACATTTGTAGGGGCAGCTGGCGATGGTTTGTAGAGATGGCGGTTTTGCCAGCCGCCCCTACCACACCGTCTCTACAAATCAAGAGTTTATAGGAGCGATTTCCAAGCCATCCCTACAAATCGATTTGTAGAGGCGTCTTGTGTCACGAGCCGCCCCTACAACTATATTTGTAGGGGCGGCTTGTAACACCAGCAGCCTCTAGAAAAATGATTTGTAGGGGCGACTGTAACACCTGCCGCCCCTATAATTTCTATTTGTAGGGGCGGTTCAATCTAGAACCACCCCTACAGTATATTTTTCCAAAAAAATGAAATTTAAAAATTCAAATCTGACTAAAACATATATACATATACATATATATAATATAATTCATAAGGACATTATATCAACAGCTAATTCAAAAGAAGATATATACGATACAAACCCAGAATAATTTAGATTACTTTATTACAAACCCGTTTATTACAAACACATAATAATTTATATTTGTTCATTACAAACCATAATAATTTAGATCAGTTTAAAATTCCTAGAACTTCCCAACGTCGTACCATGTACTCGGTGAAGTGCAGATCATTCATTTCATATGCGCGAATGTCACTGATGTAGCGCAATGTATTTACTAGTGCACTCTCCCTTGCTTCACAAGATTGTTCACAAGGTCTACTGATGATGATCAGCAATGGCTCAGAACATCCCCTGCTGGTACCAATATTTTTTCCTCGATTCCCTCTGAAGTGAGAACAGGGCCAGCATATTCCCATTTATAATGATCCAATTGATACATGGCCTGCTTTATAATGGCTTCAAAGCTACAACTTGCGTATGTTACATCATTTCATTGAATCTGCAAGTGTTGAGAAAAATGTGGTTATCAGAACCATGCTTATATATAGACATAACAATTAATCTGAATATAAGTCATGAAACTGACCACATCATTTATGTTGTCCTCAACAAGTTGTGCACAAAACAGTCTAATATCGTGGTGGAGGCCCACATTGAAAGCTCTAATCCTCATGGAGGAGTATGTAGGAATATCATACCCAATATTTTGAAACACACTTAAACATTCTAGCACAGCATATTTTTGCGCACAAAAGTGGCGAGGTTGACCGCTGCCCTTCCTATCGATGTATAAAACCAGACCTTGTTGGTTACCTGCCCTAGAGAGAATAGAAAAGCCAATTTGACATTGCGTGTGTCCACCCTCTATAGGGAATGTATCAACTTGCATGTAATCAACCCCAAAATTTGAGAGTGTCTCTTTGAACCATGGTATAGGATGAATTGTCTATGTTTAAGAATTATATATATCAAAACAAAAAATCTATAGAGGTGCCCTTAAAACATGTTACTTACTATGCTTGGATATGGGTGGTTTGCTATCCCCAATTTTGGTTGGAAGCCCAGATCAAATACATAATTATTTGGCAGATGCGGCAAAGGGAGTTCGGCCATCTCTTCTCCTAAATTTATGTCAAGTAAAACAGTTATAGTAGAGGAGGACAGGAGAGGAGAGGAGTAGAAGTAGGAGCAAATGACAAGAGAGGAGAAGAGTAGAAGTAGTAGGACTAGAAGAGGAGAGCCTACAAAGCAGCAGTTGCCTACCAATGGAGAGTAGTAGTAGTAGTAGGACAGCAGCAGTAGTATTAATAGTAGGACAGCAATAGCAGTAGTATTAATAAATGGAGTTGCATTACAACCAAAATATAGCTGTCAACATACAATTAGTGTTATCCAAACTAATAGGCCTCAGACACCATAATTAAATCATTATACAATTGTGTTATCCAACTACATCGACCATCTAATTGTGTCATCACAGGCCTAAATATTGCAGTTACATTGGCAGCTCATGGAAAGCCTCATGCAAAGTCCAAACACCATCACCAATAGACTAATAATCACCACATTCTTCCAAGAACCAGTCTTAGCACCCTGAGGGGGGATGCTTTCACCACAATCAGCTAGGACCAGTTTAGGGGAGGGAGTTGCTGCTCTAACATAGGCATTGAAATCTCTAAGTGCATGGTCAAAGTTGTTGTAGTTCTTGTTGTTGATATTTCTTAACATCTATTGGAGGATTCCGCAAGTGCACAGAACTATTGCGTAGCGCTTCGCTCGGTGAGTACCGAGTGTTGAATCTATAATTTATCCCAAAGGAAGGCGAAAGGCTAGAAACTATACAGGACTAGGATTTGCTTAAGGTAGGTTCTAAGTTGATCCTAGGTAGGTGAACCTATGCTACTAATGCTAAACAACAAGCACCTAAGCTCACTAATGATGAACACTAATGACTAAGTACTTAAAGTAAAGCAAGCAATACTAGAATAAAGTACTAAAATAAATACTGAATAAAGTAATGCAGAAATGAAAGAAATACAAAGGAGCTATACCAGACCTAGAAGAGTCTTCCAGACTCTGAGAAGCTCCGCTCTTGCTCTACTCCACTACTAGACTACTACTCTATAGCTAAATCTAAGCTAGAGAAGCTTGGAGAGCTTAGAAATGACTAGAACTGAATGGGACATCTTCCACCGAGCTCCACACCCCCTATTTATAGTGTAGGGAGGCATGGGGGTACTTGTAGGCAGCCAGGAGGTTGGTGGAGGTGACTTGGGCATCGGGCGGCCTAGGGAGGGCACAACCTGGCCCTCCATTCCACCGCCTCTTGATCCTACGGTGTTGGTTGGGTCCCAATGGTAGTTATTTGGATAGCACGTGGTGAAACTCAGATGGGAAGTCAGTTGGTGAAGCTCCAAGCCTATGACAATGGGCCCATGGATCCATGGCCTCTTCATCATGACCATTGATCAAACTGACTTGGATCAACACTTCTATTTGGCTGAGGAGGAGTTCCCACGGATCACTGACGTGGCAAGGTGCCAAGTGGGCACCAGGTGGGGTCGGGTTGTGCCTAGGTAGCACCGGGCGGCGCTGTCTAGTGGACCCAGGTGGCCCTGCCATGTCCACTTGCTCCTATGGTCCATGTTTGTCACCATTTTGGCCAAAATTTGTCATATTTCCTGCATACAAATAATCCTCCAAGTACAAGTGGAACTAGGTGAAATTTAAACATAAATTTTCAATTGTGATGATGATTTTCCATACTTTTGGGTGGAATGTTGATGGTAAAAATGGGTGTCAGTGACCGTCAACAAGCTCCCCCAAGCTACCCCTTTGTTGTCCTCAGCAAAGATGCGGGTTTAGCATAGGATAAGTTGTTGGATCAGGAGTTGCGTACAATGTAACGCCCTGCAAAAATTCATATACAAACAAATACTATCTCTTGAATTGAACATGTTAGCGCTTAGAAATTTCACCATCGGTCTTAGCAATGT